AACATTTAGTTACTTGACATTAAAACGCTTTTGTAAAATAAAAGCATTTCTGAGGCATAATGAGCCTTTAAGCCCTTCTTATTTAATCATGTCATATTTTTTATAATAGGAACTAAATAGGAAGTACATGTAACTATCAGCGTTTAATTAGACTTCAGCAATGAAACCAAGCGCATAAATGACTTAATTGTGTGGGTTTTTTTTTTCTGGAAAATCTTAATATTTGATAAGGCGTACATGTACATCTTCTTAGAAATCTTGAAAAATTTAATAAGAACAAAATAAATTGTTCACAAATTAAAGAAGTGAGAGATATTGTTTTACAAGTGGCTATCAATAATAATAATTAAAATCCCCTTTAGACGTAAATTGAATAAAAATGTGTTGCGGAAATATGAGCAGTTAACCAAACAAAGGTTTTTAGAAGTGTTATTTTTTTACGCAGAACACAATGATCTTTCTGGTAAGTCAGTAGATGTTTCGAGATACTAAAATGATGAGTAATGTAAAATCCCGAGAGCGTGGGCGTTAAATATTAGCTAACACATACAGATTGGCTCAACAAACTGATAGCTATCGCGTGCGTACGTACCAGCTATCGCGTGCGCACGTACCAGCTATCGCGTACGCACGTAGTAAATCGAAGAATTCCTTCGCATCCTTTATGACACCTATGTGATTCTAATAAGACATTTAAATATTTTTACTACGGGAAGGACCATAATTTGTTTCACCTCTGTAGAAGAAATTTAAGCGAAAAATTTATCTTTTAATAGAGCCTTATTTTAAAAACATTTTGAGGGTTTCATCGAATCAGGGACATTTGTCCCTTGGACACTCGTCACCAGTCAAAAATATATATTTGGACATTGCTCGCCCCCCCCCCCCCCTTCACCATCCAGTGGAAATATAAAGGATAAAGGTGGACACTTGCTTGTTTGAAAATATGCTTATGAGTACGTTTAACAAATGACCAAACTGGGGATAATTCAATTTTAGAGTGTGTGTAGTGGGGGGGGGGAGGGGGGCAATGTGCTGGGGGCAAATGTCCGTATACCGTGTTACCAAAACTGACCTAGTTGTAGTGGTTTCGCACGAGATGTTGGTAGACAGCGGCCATAAGAGATTGCGTTAAACGCTGCATAAACATGAAATTATCTAAAAATCTTTACAAAAACGGAAATAACAGGTATGTCACATTCTGTTATAAGTCTTAGTACCCTTACAATTTGGATCAAAGGACATAAATTCTTTTTATTTACTACATGTATAAATATCGAAGAAAACGCTTAAAGCAGCCTGTCTCCATATTCATGCTGTTTTTTGTTTAAAGTTTGAAAATGTATTTAAATGCAAAATATTGTGAAGTGCACATAGAAAGTTATTTTAATATTGCAATCGGCACTTAAAATCTACGTAAACAGACTATCAAAACGAGGTCAAGATAGACAAAAATAGCCCTTACTGCGTAAGTCACGCAGTCGAAGTATGGAGATAAACAATGCAAAATCCGTCATTAATCGCATGTAACATTATTACATGAATCTTTTTACTTTCCCTAAAATCTTAGTGCATTTTTTTCCAAGTTTGATTGTCTTGCAATATTTTGACTCATCTGGAGGCATGCAGCTTTAATGTTGACATTATCTTAACCCACTTCAACATGTTAATTTCCTAAGTAAACCAATAACCTACTTTAATATAATTCATTTCTACGAACTTTGAATACAGCTTATTGTTACCTTCTTATCATAATTGAGAATGATTTCAATTTTCTTCCTTTATAAGAGATTTTTTCCGAATGGTTACAGAAGAAGTTTACTTTGCTCAGTGCAAACTATGCAGGATAGATTTAGTCTTCAATAAATACGATTGCATTCCTTTATGTATCTTGGAAAATGGATTTAGCAAAACATACACTGAACAAAAGTTCTAACTCATCATCCTGAGTTTTCGCTTATATATGAAAAAGAATAATACCAATAGATCCGACTTTTATTTTATTTCGAAGAGAATGAACTTATTGAGAATAATAAAATTATAACATTTTTCTATTTGATACTTTATCGATATTTAAAAAAATATATTTTTATGAACAACCACTCCCCTGTCTGATAGAGGCTCCAGCATTCAATATTTCAACTGCTAAGGCACGACCCTGCATCGACATTCGTGCCATGTTTTATGTTTGTTAACAAGGATTTATGCAATGTAAAATTTAATACTAACTACGCTCTGCATGAACATTTCGTGCCAAAATGTGTAAACCGTGCCCTGTCTCCCGCGCGAGTGCATAGAACAGTATAAAAAAATTTTTCTTTCCACAAATCGGTAGAAAACAAGTTAGAAGCATGCGAGAGGTCTTTTTGCTGCTGTAGAAGATTTGTTTAATTTGAAAATATTTGGAGAAAAGACACAATGAAGGGTTATAAATTACAATTATTTAACAAAATAAAATTTATTATATAAATTGAATATATAGTACCATAATGAAAGTTTGTTTTATACTTCATTTTTTAATGTTTTGAAAGATTATATGCCGGAGAAATGGACTTTTTCTTGGCGCATTAGGTGTACTTTTTCTACAAAGGGAACTAAATTAAAATAAATGATATGTTTGTTTGTTTGTTTGTTTAATTTTACGCCTTTTTCCAACAGTATTTCAGTCATGTAGGCGGGTAGTTTCCTAACCATCGTTCCTGGAGAGTTACACCAGTGCTAGACTACCTTCCTCCGCGCTAAACTACCAAAGCATCTCCCGGGGATCGAACCCACGCCAGAGAGGTACCTGAATTAGAAGTCATCGACTCTAACCCCTCAACCACGGAGGCGGTACAAATGATATGTATTAGTATATTAAAAGTAGTATCATTTTATTTTGTAAAATTCAATCCTCAAATTTTCGGTTAATGTTTTGGTGAGCATATGCATGAAACATTTCCTATACATTTTCCAAACCGGGCATAAAGTATGTTAATCAGACAATTTTAAGTCCAAGATTTACATAAAAAAAGTTTTATATCATATGCCTCCAACCACAATATTTTAAGAAAATCAAACTTGTGTCAAATTTGTGCCATTTTTTGTTAATTATTCGTTTAAGTTAAGTCGTATTTTGAAATGGAGCATGCGCAAAACAAATTTTGTAGACTGCTCCTAATGGTTTAAAGGTGTAAATGAGATTCATTCACTACAATCAGATACGCAAAAATGGATGCCGCCAGCTATTCAGTCTGAACACTGTGGAGAGGTCTGATGACCTCTCCAATGACACAAAAATCACCTCTGCAAATTTTTATAAGGATCTATTGACCGGTTATAAAATAATCAAAATTTAAAAGTGATCGATTAGAACTTTTAAGTGTATAGCACGCGTCGCTGCCTTTACTTACACCACTTTTTTCCTACTAAAACCACTCTTCTCCAAGTAACATCACTTTTTCTTTATGAAACCACTCTTCTCTAAGCATCGTCACTTTTTCCTTATAACACCACTCTTCTCCAAGTAACATCACTTTTTTTCCTACTAAAACCACTCTTCTCCAAGTAACATCACTTTTTCTTTATGAAACCACACTTCTCTAAGTATCGTCACTTTTTCCTAATAACACCACTCTTCTCCGAGTAACATCACTTTTTTCCTACTAAAACCACTCTTCTCCAAGTAACATCACTTTTTCCTTATGAAACCACTCTTCTCCAAGTAACATCACTTTTATCCTACTAAAACCACTCTTCTCCAAGTAACATCACTTTTTCCTTATGAAACCACTCTTCTCAAAGTAACATCACTTTTTCCTTATGAAACCACTCTTCTCCAATTAACATCACTTTTATCCTACTAAAACCACTCTTCTCCAAGTAACATCACTTTTTCCTTATGAAACCACTCTTCTCCAAGTAACATCACATTTTCCTTATGAAACCACTCTTCTCCAATTAACATCACTTTTATCCTACTAAAACCACTCTTCTCCAAGTAACATCACTTTTTCCTTATGAAACCACTCTTCTCCAATTAACATCACTTTTTCCTTATGAAACCACTCTTCTCAAAGTAACATCACTTTTTCCTTATGAAACCACTCTTCTCCAATTAACATCACTTTTATCCTACTAAAACCACTCTTCTCCAAGTAACATCACTTTTTCCTTATGAAACCACTCTTCTCCAATTAACATCACTTTTATCCTACTAAAACCACTCTTCTCCAAGTAACATCACTTATCCTTATGAAACCACTCTAATCAGAGTAACTTCACACAACTCTTGAACAGATTACGACACTTTACATCTACATTTTTGTATTTACATCACGCCTTCTAGTGGTTAAGTGCCTGCGTTTCAAGCCAGGGGTTGTGAGTTGAATCCCTACTGCACCGTCATGACGGTTGTCTAACAAATACTGGAGTGGCGGCGTACGTGGCCGAGTGGTTAACGCGTCGGTCTAGTAATCTAAGGACTGCTGACCGCGCGGGTTCAAAACCTGTTAGGGCCAAGACATTGTTTCCTTCAGTAAAAAAACGTTACATTCATTGTTTAGTACTGTTTGGTTCCAGGAACTGATTTGAGCAGAATCGAACTTAAAACTAAACTAACAAATACTGTCCGGGAACTCAGTTTGCGTTCAGGCATGTCGACTCCGTTTCTCTTCTCTGCACCATTTCTACGACTGAGTTTTCAGAAAATTTCCAAACATTCTAATATTTACACATGACCGTTTTGTGCCCTTATACATTTGTAATTGGCAGAAGATTTTTACTGTCTTCGTCGAGGTACATATACGTGTTTATACATGAATGTAGCTAAAAGAGACTTCAGTAGTATTGCTAATAATTTCTGTCATAATAAAAGAGACATTTAATAAAGTTATGGTAGCCAGAACTTATCTCGAATATGTGGGAACCTCAGAAAATAGAGCATAATCTCCTCAATACTTCCAAGGGGAAATACTAAATCTCAATAATTAAGTAAAAACGTAGTTGTCTCCCTTACCAAGACAGGAAATCCCCTTTTATTTCCGAGACATATTTTATAGAGTTTGGAAAAACCAGGTTGGAAATCTTAAAAGAATGTAATTAATAGGTAAAAATTATGTAATACATTACGTATAAAGTTATGTTTACTTGTTGTAGAAAACCTTAAGAATTAATGTATATATCTAGATGTATAGTTTTAATTAGTTTTACATGAATTTTTCACAGTTATAGATTACTACGGGTATAGATGGATACCGAAAATAAGCTATTTTCGCGAAAATAAGATCGCGGCTACGAAAATAAGATTAATTTTTGAAATAGTGCATTTATCTGTTGAAATAATTATGTAAAATATATTTATATGCATTCATTGAATGATTTTACAGCTAATTAAAATTTCAGAACCAAAAAAATATTTAAAAAAATGAAGTTTGAGCCGAAAATACTATCGTACGAAAATAGCTCAAATTGCCGTGTAAATCGAAAATACGATCGGGTCTACGAAAATAAGATTTTTTTTTATATATATAATGTATTAAAAACGTATTTTTTGTTTCTTAATAATTGATTTGTATGAATGAAATAATAAATTTCAGAACTGAAAATATATTTAAAAAAAGTGACATTTCATTACAAAATACTTCATTTTTTATTATTTCATTCATACAAATCATTTAATATCAACAAAAATACGTTTTCAATACATTTTATCAAAAATAAATCTTATTTTCGTAGACCCGATCGTATTTTCGATTTACACGGCAATTCAAGCTATTTTCGTACGATAGTATTTTCGGCTCAAACTTCACTTTTTAAAATATTTTTTTGGTTCTGAAATTTTAATTAGCTGTAAAATCATTCAATGAATGCATATAAATATATTTTACATAATTATTTCAACAGATAAATGCACTATTTAAAAAATAAATCTTATTTTCGTAGCCGCGATCTTATTTTCGCGAAAATAGCTTATTTTCGGTATCCATCTATACCGGATTACTACAGTACTGTAGTACTTAGTCATATCTGGCGCGTAGCTTTATAAAACCGTGTTGCGACCTCTCCTTCAACAAATTGACATGCTGTAGATTTATAAACGATGAGGTTTTAAGCTCACATTATTCAGAAACTTCTTTTGCATTTAGCTCCATGATATTTTTAACTGTTAAATACCCGATTTGAAACCGAAAGTAGCATGTCACGAAATTAATCAATAGGACAATACGGTTGATCAATCTGAAATTAAGCCAAGTTTAATCTTATCTGACTCCACATTGCTGGTAAATGATGTAATATTGTGTGCAAATCTATGTTTGAACCATAGGTGGTCGGCGTGTTGATTGGTCACTAGATCTACCACCCCCACGGCACCCCACCCATTCTACAACCCTCTTAATTACCTCAACTCACAGGTGCTTGAAACAAACTTTTTAAAGTTTTATATGGGCTATATACTATCTGGGACATATTACATGTATAAGTATATTACACTCTTTTTATAATCTGAAGGTTACAGGTAAATTCTAATGGATATTTACAGAAATTTTGCTCGGATACTTGCATTATGTATTGTTTATGCAAAGTAAATTATTAAATGAAAAGGTATTATGACAGAATGTAATCTTATTTTGACTTTCACCTGTTTACTCACTACTTATCCTTTGGTGGAATGTAATCTTATTTTGACTTTCACCTGTTTACTCACTACTTATCCTTTGGTGGAATGTAATCTTATTTTGACTTTCACCTGTTTACTCACTACTTATCCTTTGGTGGAATGTAATCTTATTTTGACTTTCACCTGTTTACTCACTACTTATCCTTTGGTGGAATGTAATCTTATTTTGACTTTCACCTGTTTACTCACTACTTATCCTTTGGTGGAATGTAATCTTATTTTGACTTTCACCTGTTTACTCACTACTTATCCTTTGGTGTAATCTTATTTTGACTTTCACCTGTTTACTCACTACTTATCCTTTGGTGGAATGTAATCTTATTTTGACTTTCACCTGTTTACTCACTACTTATCCTTTGGTGGGCATTCCTACATTGTACCTTATCAGAGCTCTGATGATGATGTAGTACTATTAAGCATCAAGCTGCCCTGATTTTGCTCTATTTTATTTTGTTAATGACATCTTCAAACTTTCATCTTTTGCTTCTTACATCATCATCCATATTATCATTTAGGATAATTTGTGTAATTTAAATTTTTAGTGTATAAAGCTATATATCTTCTGCCAAACTTATTCATTGAATATTTTATACAACTTGGGTACTTCCAAAATGCTAAGTAATGTATAATAGAAATGCCTTAGAACTTGGAAATTTGAATAAACTCATAACTAAACAGCTCAAACCCTTCTTAAAATACAACAATTTATATTAGTAGAGCATAATATTTTGTTCTGGAACATTTTATTTCTATTTTAGATACATACAATATTTATACATGTATGTTTTAAAGATATGCTATGCTCATCCTTATATAAAATAAAATATTTAAATCTCAGAAATTTATTGAAATCTTTGAAATTATTACAGAATATGTCTTATTGGAATAAAAAAATGAATAAACTATGTATGGGAAGCTGTGTTCCCTTTTTTTAAAGTCAAGTAAAGTTGATCTTTTCTTTAAAAGAATGACACTATAACATATTCATATTGTGACCACAAGTTCTATAGTTTGTAACATCTTAAACACACTCAGCTGCTATCTACTTTGAGTGAAGTCTGTGGTTTGTAAAATTTTAAACATAACAATATCTACTTTGAGTGATTAGTCAATCATGTTAATTTTATATTTACAAAGATACTGTGTAGCATATCTAATATCAAATTTGATCATACACATGTTGTTTATCTTTAAATAATAGAGATATTTTAATTATGTTACAACTCTCTTGAGAATCAACCATATCAACTATATTATGCGGTGTCTATTCTAGAATGGGGGATGGGGGGATTACATGTAGTTTATACAAAATTTATTTCAGTTTGATTGTATTGGAAGCTATAAGTCTATTGAAACACCCTGGAATCTGTTCCTGGAACCAGCCAGTTTAAAGCAATGAATGTAAAGTTTCTTGCTCAAGGAAACAACGGCTTGCCCCTGGCAGGGTTTGAACCAACATGGTCAGCAATTTTTTAGAATAGTACAATGCATTAACCACTCAGCCACGCCACTACATATTTTTGAGAATCCCACCACCCCAAATTTTTCAGAGGCAGGGAGAAAATTTTGTAAAGAGAAAGAAGGAAAATGATCATCAAATGTAATAAATTTTCACTTTTTCTATAACAATCCCCCATTTTTGGCCGGGTTGCACGGGTGCAAATCTGGGTTATAGTATGGTGAATGTCGGGCGGCGGGCGGGCAGGCGGGTGGGGAAAATATTTTCGTAACAGTTTTCTCAGCAACTACTTATCACAGCCTCTTGATATTTGGCATACAGCATACACACATGGTCCAATACCGTGGGATTTAATTTCAGGTCTGTCGCTCATCCACTTCCTGTTTATCCACTTAGTTAAATTAGTTAGATTTTTCGACATTAATGGTCAATGGTAGGAAATTTTCGTAACAGTTTTCTCAGCAACTACTTGTCACAGCCTCTTGATATTTGGCATACATCATAGACACATGGTCCCATACTGTGGATTTTGATTTCAGGTCTGCAGCTCATCCACTTCCTGTTTATCCACTTAGTTAAATTAGTTAGATTTTTTGACATTAATGGTCAATGGTAGTAAATTTTCGTAACAGTTTTCTCAGCAACTACTTATAACAGCCTCTTGATATTTGGCATACAGCATAGACACATGATCCCATACCGTGGGATTTGATTGCAGGTCTGTCGCTCATTCACTTCCTGTTGATCCACTTAGTTAAATTAGTTTAATTTTTCAACATTAATGGTCAATGGTAGGAAATTTTCGTAACAGTTTTCTCAGCAACTACTTATCACAGCCTCTTGATATTTGGCATGCAGCATTGACACATGGTCCCATACTGTGGGATTTGATTTCAGGTCTGTTGGTCATCCACTTCCTGTTCACATTAATGGTCAATGGTAGGAAATTTTCGTAACATTTTTCTCAGAAACTACTAATCACAGCCTCTTGATATTTTGCATATATAAAGCATTTACACATGGTCCCATACAATGGGATTTGATTTAAGGTGTGTAGCTAATCCACTTACTGTTTACTTATTGAATTAAATTTTCGACATTAATGGGTCAATGGTAAATTCTTTTCGTAACATCACAGCCTCATGATATTTGGTGTACAAATGCAACCCGGCCTTTTCTGTCTTTGACCCATTTTTTTCTTAATCCTAGAATAGACACTGATTAAGATTATGAAATGAAATTAAATAATTTTATTGTTTCCACTTTAACCCTTTAGCTGCCAGAGGGTTATTGTTTTATTGTTCACCTAATTGCCAGAGGATTTTCTAAGAAATTACTATATTATTACATGTAGAAACGGCTAAAGCCGTCCATATGGCAAATACGCCGAAAATAACAGGGATTGCTTAAGCCGTCCCTATGGCAGTGAAAGGGTTAAATCTCTGTTAACTGTTACAGTTGTTAAATGTTATATTATTTATATACTCATTTGCTCAGTGTTTTGAGCACCAGAATCTTCATGATTTGTTAATTTGTGCTGACATTGATATATTTATATTTTTACACTTTTTAAAAAAAACACATTTATTCTTGTTGTTTTTTTCCACATAATATAATTCAATGTAAATACATTTCAGAATGTAACTTTTTTTATCTTTTTTATGTCAGATGAAACAACAACAGACCTGTTATTGACGAAAATTCAACCATGCCGTCAGAAAGTGAGCCGAAAACATTGTCAGATGATTTCATTAACCGTGTAACAAATACCTTTAGACCAGAATTCATCAAGAATGTGGATAACCCATCTCTTCTTGCAGATTTTCTGACATGCCTTGAAGTTGTTGATAGGGTTTGTATTTTACTCAATATAAAAAAATTTCACCTTAATGTGTCTGCTTTTGTTAAATGGATTTGGCCTGTTGAAGTGATGGCAATAAGTTAAAGTGAAGCAGCCATCAGTGAATAGTCTGCATAGTGTGTTTGCCTTTTACTTAATGCACCGAAAAAAAATTCTAGTCATCCATCGGTCTGTTAGCAGTTTCCATGTTCGGTCAGTATCTTTAGGAAATTGAAACTACTAAATTTTAAACATAATGATACGTTATGCAGAGTGCAGGTTTGACCTTCCTCAGGTCAAGGTCAGGGTCACACTCAGTCATTTTGTATCAATTTCAAAATTTTGTGTCCACTTAACAGAAAGAAAGAAATTAAAACTTTTTTGGCAGAAATATTATTCTTAATGTAATGGTGTGTCTGTTTTTTTTTTTAAATAAAAATTGGCAGCACCCCTGGGATTACTTAATTTATATAGACTTATATAGGGAAATACATTTAAGTTTCATTTCATGAAACTGCAATGTCTAGAGCTTAGATATTAAGCATGCAACATTGCCATATTGACCTTTACAAAACTGTTAACGAGTCATGCCTCTTGGTTCAATATTGGCCCGTCCAGGGCCAGGTGTCACTTTATTTATAAAGACTTAAAAACACACCTGAGTCATATTGTGTGAAACTCTGATGCATAGATTTGGCATGTAACATCACTTTGTGGACCACATTAATCATGCCCTTTGGTACAATATTGGCCCCACCCTGGGGTCACTTAGTTAACATATTTGTATGTAGGTAAACATATTTATGTCTTATTTTGTTGAAGCAACAATGCCTAGAGTTTAGATATTTGAGGTGTAGCATTGCCTTTTTGGCCTCTGAAAAACTGCCATTCATCATGCCCCTTAGGTCAATTTTGGCCCGCCCTTTGGGTCACTAAGTTGATTTAGTTTTGTATGAGTAATTTTGTGAAACTACAATGCCATTGAAGAGCTAAGATATATAACATGTAGCATTACCTTGTGAATGTCTGCAATTTTGATATTATTAATGCCCCTGGGTTTAAAATTGGCCTGCCCAGGGGTCACTTGATGACAAAAATTGACAAGAAAATACATTTAGGTCTTATTATGTGAAACTATAAAGTCAAAAGCTTAGATAAATTGACATTTAGCATTAATAAAAAAAAATATGCAAAAGATATATAAATCATGAACCTTATCATGACAAGGTGCAGTAACAAGGGGCATAATTCTTAAAGTAATATTTTTGGAGAAATGCCCATTTTTGTGTCGCCTTGAAAAGGTGACATATAGGGGTTACTTTTGTTGGCGGTGTCGGCGGCGGTGTCTGTGTTGGCGTCGTTGTCCTTGTCGGCGTCGTTGTCGGCGTCCCCTAAAGCTTGTCCGCAGCATAACTTAGTCACTATAAGTCTGATTGAAGTCTGATAAAAAGAAGTGCAGTGCATAAGAACTTATACTCTGCATTTCTTATTTTTGAGTTATTGCCCTTTGTTGATTTTCTTACTATATTTTTGTCCTGGTCATTTCTTCTCAAGTATGAAAGCTATGGACTTGAAACATCATAGAATGATAGATCTTATTAATAAGAAGTGCAGTGCACAAAAACTGCTGCTCTGCACGTATTATTTTTTTAGTTATTGCCCTTTGTTATTTTTCATATTTCATTTTTGTCCTGGCCATTTCCCCTAAACTACATTGTTCACAAGGCGACACATCCGACTTGATACATTCTGTGCTATTGTTTATTTATTTATTTATTTTTTAAAATTATTTTCTTTTTTTGTTGTTGTGTGTATGACAGGAAGTTGTGAAAGCACAGCACACTCAATATGGAGCCATACATGCTGCCGGTATTCTGTTTGACCGAGTTATTAAAAGACCAGACTGGATAGACAATTTAACAAGTGCATTGAGACATCCACAAATTGGATTGGACTTTCTTGCAGAAAGAATGACAAGATTTGAAGGTAGGTATTTTTTTATGTACAATGTATGCTCATATAATGTATCTAAAGATATTTTTTCTGGAAAAATATTTGTGCTTCCAGGCATAAAGTGATTAAACCATTATTCTGTTAAGTTTAATTGGCAAACACAGTCCATGATCTTGGCAAGTTATTTACATGTGGTTCCCATTTTCACTTGTTATTTCCATTTTTTTGCACTATGGAAATAGGTATGTTTAAGCCATTCCTGTAAGATTGATAAGTTTTATCTGTACCTGTGGCGTTATACTTCACACACTTACCTATTATATTACAAGTTTCAACCTCTTAAATTAAAGTTTGTCTTGCCTTTTTTTGAAACCCTTTTGTCTGTTTCCCCTCCTGTTCATTTCTTCTCTTGCTTTTTTAATATGCCCGTTTGAGAAGGGGTCATATTATAGTTTCCCTTAGTGGGCTGCCTGGTAGGCCTGGTAGGCGGGAGGTATCCAATTTTTGTCTGGAGCATATCTCCTACATGCATGGAGGAATTTTAATGAAACTTCATAGAAATGTTCACCTTTATAATAAGCCATGTCCCACACATCAACCAGGTCTCTAGGTCAAAGGTCAAGGTCACACTTGGAGGTCATTGAAAAGCGCTTGCCCGGAGTAAAACTTCTACATGTATATAAATATTTCAATATAACTTGACACAAATGTTCCCATTGTGAGGCAGAGGTTTTGTTCAAAAAAAAGGTCCCTTTTACCCAAAATTTATGGCACACTTGGGTTCAAAATTTAGATAAAATAAAATAATCAGGGGGGTCAAGTTTCCCAAAATTCCTATAAATTTCCCATATTTTGGAGTTTTTCCCATTAATTCCCATTTTCATTAAAATTTCCATATTTTTGTAAAATTCCCTTAAAAACCTATATTTTAAAGGGGAAGCAAGAAAAAAGAAAAGGGGCAAAACCCGTAAATTTTTTACAATGTTTTTTGTCATCTTTTTGTATAGTGCAAAATTTAGTTCAAAAAACCTTTTTTTCTTTTAAAATGTGCGACCCGCCAGCCCCGCTAGTTTGGATTTGTTGAGGAAGTCCAACTTCTTGCAGGAAGCTGTCCTTTTTTTTAAAAAGTATTGTTTTAGTTGAGATATTTTATGCCCAAATTTGACATTAAAAAATATTTATAATTGCTACACAGTCTCTTTATAAATATAAAATAAACATGTTTTGACTTCACACAAAGTAGATATGCGATGTTTAAAATTCTTCACACTGTAGGTTTTTTTAAAGAAAAGCTTAATTTTACTTGAACTGTTAAATAGATAGCAGCTTCCCATACATGGTTCTTTCATTTTTTTATTCAAGTTAAAATTTTGTGGATTTCAATAAATTTCTTTAATTAAAAATAATAAAATATTTTACTCAAGGATGAGCATAGTATATCATTAACAAGGGTAAACATGCCTAGGGATAAAACAAAGTTTCATGAATGGTGGTTAACTGAAATTAATTCAAATTAAAAAAAAAATTACAATCGTGTGTTAAAAGTAGTGCAGATCTTGTACCTGTTGTAAGACAGAATTCAAATGTGACAATAGTGTACTGTGTAATTAATCAAATACTTCACCATGCGAAATGGTCACAATTAAGTGCGTAAATTCTTTCAATGAAACAGACTAAACTTACATTCAATGTACAGCCTAGTGCATGTTCAAACACAGCAAAGAGTGAAAGTTCAGGTCAGGAATCTCCGGCACTACTGTTGGTTTACCAAATCTTACTAATGCTTTACCTTATGAAGATGTATTACATGCCAAAGTCATTTGGGGAATTAAGTGTGCCACATTCATCTCATTCCAAGAAGCAAAAGTGTGATTAGTTTAGCAGCAATTGACCTTATATGGTTGCAACACATCTTAATTAAACAGGTTGTCAAATGTATGATACAGTAGGCTGATGTAGTTAGTATTCCTGGTTAAATGATTAGCTTAACAGTTCCTATGATTATTATGCCCCCATTTTGAAAAAAAGGGGGTATATTGCTTTGCACTTGTCGGTCCGTCGGTCCGTCGGTCCGTCGGTCCGTAGACCAAATGGTTTCCGAGTGATAACTAAAGAACCCTTAGCCTAGAACTTCAAACTTGTATGGTGATTGGTCATGACCAGTAGATGACCCTATTGATTTTGGGGTCAAGGGGTCAAAGGTCAAGGTCACATTGACCTTGAAAGCAAAACGGTTTCCGATCAATAACTAAAAGAACCTTAAGGCCCAGGAACTTCAAAACTTGGTATGGTGATTGGTCATGACCAGTAGATGACCCCTATTGATTTTGGGGTCAAGGGGTCAAAGGTCAAGGTCACATTGACCTTGAAGCAAAAACGGTTCCGATCAATAACTAAAGAACCTTAAGGCCTAGAACTTCAAACTTGGTATGGTGATTTGGTCATGACCAGTAGATGACCCCTATTGATTTGGGTCAAGGGGTCAAAGGTCAAGGTCACATTGACCTTGAAAGCAAAAACGGTTTTTTCCGATCATAACTAAAGAACCTTAAGGCCCAGGAACTTCAAACTTGGTATGGTGATTGTCATGACCAGTAGATTACCCCTATTGATTTTTTGGGGCA